AGTGTTTGTTCCAGCGCTCACTGTGCCAATGTGTGTGTAGCTCTAATACTGGTTTTTCCCCTCACTATCCCCCACCTCCTCCCCTCTTCTCTCCTCACCTTTGATGATTACACATTCATCCCTTCTCAATTTCAAACCAAACCTTGTTTATTCATTATTTCTTACTCTTTTTTTCCACACTCTGTCTACCCTGTTCCTCGCCTATTCCATCCATCTTTCCATTCATTGATCCATCCATCCATTCATTCACTCATCTCCTTTGGTTTCCTCCTTCCAATTTCCTTAATCAACCCCCCCTTCTATTTTCCTTTACTTCCCATCTCTGGTCTCTCGCTCTTCCTCCCTCACCCTATCACTTCGTTCTCCTCCTCCCTTCCTCCCTTCCTCTCTCTCTTTCACACAGTGCTCTGTGCCTCGCTCTCTCTGGCTGGGCTGCTCCTCGGTGGCTGAGAGTTTGTGTGCACTCAGGTGCCTGCAGAGCATCCCCTCCACCCGGGCTCACAACCAGGTTCTACCTCTCTCCTCTTAATTCTGCTGATCCTCCTCCTCTCCCTTACCTTCCTCCCTCATCATCTCTCACCCTTCACGTTTTTTTTTTTGTTTGTTTTTGCCCACTCCACACAACTTTTCATACCACCTCAGTACAAACAGCACCCACTCACTCTCCCTCACCTCCTCACCTTTTGTTGTCCTTTCCTCCCCCGTTGGAAGCACAGTGCTCTTAGGTTCTTCTCTGGTGCATCCTCAGACTCTCTCCACTTGAAACAGAATTTCAGCACTACAAACCACAATTAACTTCCTGGTAATTGTGTCAAATCATAGTTCTTGCATATTAATCGGGCCCCATTATGCTGAAAATGTTAAACCGTGATTGTGCCTTGTGATGAACTGGAGACTCTTACAAAGTGATGAGTTTTCATTGTAGGTTTCTTGAGTACTTTGGTGTGAGTGGAGGAAGGATGCAAGGGTGCCAGAGAATAACCGTGCATTGAGGAATAATGTTTTCTCCCCTTTTACCTGGAGGTGTGAGGGTCGAGGTGGGGGTCTTCCTTCAAGCTCTGAGAGGTTACATGCTTGCTTGCCTGCCTGCCTGCCTGACCAAACCTGGTCTGTCTTTTTTTTTTTTTTTTTTTTTTTTAATTTCTCCCCTTCCTTCTCTATCTCTGCTCTGCATGATCACTGACACCAGCAAGCCCATTTTGGCTTATTGTTCTGTCTGCTTTAGTCTGGGTTCTCAACCTTTTTGTTTCTTTGTTTTTATGGTTGTTTTAGTGGCAACCACTGGTAATGGTCTCAGTGGGTTTTGCTCTCCACATGTAGCAGCATTACCAAGTATGGATATGTAGATGGACAACTGTGAAGAGCAAAGCCCAGAGCAGGTTTTACTTTATGCTTGAGTGAGGTTTTAATTAAACTTGGAAACAAATATCGAGATAATTTAATAATCCTGTCTTTAAACTGGGCCCTTTTGTTGAGATCTCTAGTGGCCACCCTGCAGCTTCTAGTGAAACACTAACTGGGCTATTACAATGTATTGACACTGTCCCTCTCCCAGATTAAGGTGTGTCTCTTTTCCCCAAGTTAGTTAGTGAACATATCTGATAACAGGGCATATATATTCTTAGAAAACTCTTTTGGTGTGTTTCACATGTAGTTGTGCTGTTCCTTTTCATTTCTGGAGAGTTTGCTGTGTATAGTTTAAACAGTCTTCATAGTTCAGGGATATGCTATCTTAATGAAAATGGTAATTATAAAGTATGCAAACATGTTTGTTGAAGATGGCCTCTTTGCATTAAGCATCCAGCGTTTTCTTAGTGAAACCTGAAACCAATAGACAGCATGCACCCTGAGAGGATAGCAGGTCTCTGTGTTGGTGCTGAATGATGAATGTAATGCCTGGTTCAGACTACATGATTTGTTTGTCTGATACGATGGTCACTATGTCAGATAACAAAATTATAGAGTCGTAAATTCTTGGACGAAGGACATGACAGACCCAACAGTTTGGGTCTTAAGGTTTGGTACCCAACAGATCATAGCCTGATGTTGCTCATGACTTGGAGGTGCCAGGAACTAGGGGAAGAGTGTGTGTGACACTGGCTGGTTGTGTTCAGAAAAGCATTTTAAAAAAGGGTGGGGTGGGGGCCAACTGTGGACCTGTCTGTGGGCTGCACAAAGAGTGTAGCAGCCCGTGTCATTTCTCTTTCACGGAGAACATGGAGTAGCAGTTTAAAAATAAATGTTTTAAGCTGGTAGTAAAATTTAAAAAAAACTAGCTAGCTAGCCCTGATAGGGTAGCTACTTCACAAGGCTGACTGTGGAAGTTATGCTAGTTGTATCATTGTGATATTTAATGAATATAGTTCAGTCAAGTATGCCAAAAATGTTGTGAACAGAAGAACCATCTGTACTCCTGTTGGTCAGCGTCATCCCACCATGTCGTAGACATTAGGGGGGGAAAAAATTATGACATGCTGGACTTTGTGTCAGGACGTTGTGAGGTGTCCCAGGCGTGGCATTGGTTGTCGTTTACTATACGAGATAAAATGGTAGCTTGTCAGTTACAACACCCTCTCTCTGTTGTGTCGGGCTTAAACTGTGTAGTCTGAATTTGGCACCAGATTATAATATTGCTGTTTAAGAGTCAGTGACTTTTCAAGAAGTAAATGTACTGTGAAGATCCTACTATTTGCCACGAGTCACATGTATTTGGCAGATTGTATAAATGGATTAAAAATTGGACAAATGGCTTAGCTTCTCACACTGTCAATGTGGTATGTGTCATAAGTGTGTTAGAATGAATTAATATCTATCTTGTTTGCAGTGCAGCAGTAGGGGACTTTAATCATTGTAAGGCCTCAGTTGTGCTAGAAATGGGTGTAATCTGTGTACCTCCTAGTTTTGTTGTTGTTTTTTTTTTTCATTTTGTTTTCTAACCTCCACATGTTGTAAGATCACTATCTGACTTTAGTCCCATTACGTTCATATAACCATGCCTGAGCCTCCGCTGGTGACAGACCCGCAATGATGCAGTTTAATTTCCTGTCCAGACTACTTGGCGCACATCAGACAAGCAAGCAGATAGATTTCTTTTGTTCACTCCATCTGTGTGTGTGTATGCACAGATATTTGTGCATGCACGCTTCAGAAGTCATGATTGTTACCCTTCCTTGGCTGTGTTTGTGGCACTCCTGTGTCCAGCACTATCCACACCCCTGCCCTGCCTTTCACTGTGCCTTTAACACAAATGTAAAAACTCACCTGCACCTTCTCTCTTTGTTTTTGTTCTTTTTCTACAGAACACATCAGGGATGGATTCACAGAACCTTGTGGACGATCTGTCGCCAAAGAAGACCACAGTTCTCAAGGTGTGTGTGTGTGTGTTTTTTTTTGTTTTTTTTTTCTTTTCTTTTCTTTGTGCATCCATGGCCACAGCTTGGTGAAAATCTGAGATCTACAACTCGGTTATTTAAAGTATGTATGTTTAAATTTACAGCACCACGGTGGTTCAGCCTAGAAATAACCCATAATGTATGACTAGTTTTTTATAAATCTCCCCTGGGGGAATCCTCATATCCATTGATGACATGGAGAATAAAGCATTATTTTGGATAGAGACTTTATTGTCACTGTAGTTGTACAACAAAATTATTGGAACAATGTTTTTATGTACCACAGACACTAGAAGAGTGCCCCTTCATGACTGATTTGCTTCATTTGAATTTCTGAAACTACTCTGACACTAATATTTTCTTTATGTGCCCCTGATCTGTACAGCTTAGTAATGGTCCTGTTGTGGGTTCCCGCAAGAGGCCATCAGAGGGAAACTACGAAAAAGAGAAGGAACATTGCATTGGCCTCTTTGACCAGTGGTCGGAGGCTGACCAGGTGGAGTTCGTCGAGCGCCTGATCTCCCGCATGTGCCACTACCAGCATGGTCACATCAACTCCTACCTCAAACCCATGCTGCAAAGGGACTTTATCACTGCACTGCCAGGTACAAATAGGAGCAACAACTCTAGTATGAGCTTACTGTTCCCTGACTGTAGTGTGACTCTACACTTAGGACCCAAATCATTTTCATTTTTTACAGATTTTCTTTAATGGCTTGATTATTTGAAACTGATTTGTGTTCCAGATTTAAATTCTACACCTCTAAAAGTAGTTTCTTGCTGCATGAAGACATTGATCATTGTAGCTAAAACTAAAGGAGCTGTTCTTCCAAAGAACACAGGAAAACCGCAACCGAAATAACCTTGGAAATCAACTGGACTTGGATATCTAGATCGAAGACGTTTCACCTCTCATCCAAGAGGCTTCATCAGTTCTGACTGACTGGTGTTGAGTCGGAGGTATTTATCCCCCTCGGTGTGGTTTCAGTCCTTAGAAGGTCAACACTGCCCATTAACGACTGAGTCATTACAGCCCAGTATCAGTGAAGGTCGTTACCTGTCTTTGGATCCTCCCCTTTCAACCGACGCCTATTGTCCTGGTGGGCATGTTTGGGCAACAGGTGAAACGTTTTCGATCTAGATATCCAAGTCCAGTTGATTTCCAAGGTTATTTCGGTTGCGGTTTACTATGACCTGGATGACTGAGAATCTGCACAGAAACACAGGAAAATACATTGAATAAGACTATACAAGTTTTCACTATAGATGATATTACTAAAATTATCAACTAGGTTTCTGTAATACTTTTGATCTTTTTTGCATCTTTTTATATTGGACCTAAATACCTATAAGTTAAGATGATTTTTGAAAGAGAAATGCATAATAAATGGTGGGTCCCAGCAAATATATATACACACACACACACACACACTCAGCCTCTTCTCCTCCTCTCTAGCCCAAGGCTTGGACCACATAGCAGAGAACATCCTCTCTTTTCTGGACGCACGCTCACTGTGTGCAGCAGAGCTCGTTTGTAAGGAGTGGCAAAGGGTCATCTCGGAAGGAATGCTTTGGAAAAAGCTGATTGAACGCATGGTCCGAACTGACCCGCTGTGGAAGGGGCTGTCTGAGAGACACCAGTGGTGAGACTTGACATAAAACAGAAGGCTGGTTGTCATGCCATTGTTTTACAGAAAGATAAAAAAAGTCATACTGCCGAGAGAAATTTATTGGATGCTTATTAAGGATCTAGGTCTAGAGTTATTTGTACTTGTTAGTCCGGTTGTTTTGCACTTAAATCGGGACAGAGACTTGGCAAGAGAAAGCAAATGTAATGTTATACTTCAGTCTTGAATGTCTTTTTAGGTGAGAAAATTCCCAGTGGATGCTTATGTTTTTCTTTCTCCAGGGAGAAATATTTGTTTAAGAATCGTACATCAGAAGTCCCACCCAACTCGTACTACCACTCCCTGTATCCCAAGATTATCCAAGACATAGAGGTAAGACAGCAACTAAATGCAGTTTAGTAATAACAGAGCACGTTGCAGATGTTGGTATTTTGCACAGCTTTTAATAACATACCATAATATTTCATGTTGAAAATTGCATTTTTCCACCTGTGGGGACTGTATGGAAGTATTTTATTGCAAAAATGTTGGTTATAAATAATTTTGATTGTAGGGATGTGACAATATTTGCAATTTCGCTATAGAAAAATTTCTCTATTGTTGTAGGACTGATTATTTCACTATGACTGCATTCAGGTAACGTTATTTGAAACTGACATAGCGGATGGTCCACCATCGACTTTTAGAACTGTTGTGTGGCAGCATTTCAGGTTTCCCATTTAAAGAATTGACATGGACAGAAAGAAAACTGACAAGCAACTTGCAAATATGCCTGAAGAAAATAAGGCTAATTGTGTTTGTAACAGACACCCATGGATACATCGTGCAGAAAGTCAGGACACAACATTTTAACGGAGATGGGCAAACAAACTGGACCCCCAAATGCAAAACCAACCACTTAGTTAACTACCACAAATTATTTTCTCTTGAAAAAGTACACCATGGTGTTTTAAAAACAAAAAGCACAAATCTCACCTTCTATGTGGCTTGTCCTACTGTAGTTTGACCTCTTCTTCACATTCTGGTACGTCAAGCCGCAATTTGCTCACTACTGCTCCAAGTGGGGTGGTACTAAAACAGTGTTCCACTATATGACTTGTTTTGTTTAATGAGATTCAGCTGCTGTTATTTCCTTTTTATAAAAGGACTGCATTCGGTGGCAATTCTTGCCTTTTTTTTTCACATCCTTAGGTCATGGCTGACTACTTTTATTTTAATAAAGAAGGAAAGCAGGGGCTTAGTTAAAAAGGAAACTCATACAGAAAACTTGTTTGTTTTAATAAAAGGCATTTTCCTCCCTTTTTTTTTTTATTTGTTATCATGACAAATATTGTATTTTATCATGGTGATATGAGTTTTTAATCATTGCATCCCTAGTTAACGGTGTTGATTTTGTCTCAATATTTTCCTCAGTATTCTCTTTATTAAATTACAGAACTTCTCCTAAATGTTTTAAAGTCTCCTGTTTTTTTTCTTTTATTCTTTTTGTTTCTTCTCCTCCAGACGATTGAGGCTAACTGGAGATGTGGGAGACACAACCTACAGAGGATTCAGTGTCGTTCAGAAAATAGTAAAGGGGTTTACTGTCTCCAGTATGATGACGACAAGATAATAAGTGGCCTTAGAGACAATTCTATCAAGGTACGTGTGTATAACATCTAGGGCAGTAAGAGGTCTGTGTGGAGTCGACCCGTTAGGAAATACTTTGATTTATAATTTAATAACAGGCTTTGTTTTATTATATTATGGTTTAATTTCCATATGTTGTAATGTCAGATTACTCCTGTCGTCATTATCCAAGTAGAGGGTATATGAAGAAGCGGTGCAATGGCAGCTCCTGCACTTAAAACCTCATTACTTAGAATTACAGCTGATGGGGCCCGTTTTGTACAACAGCAAAGCAGCAGGGTCAAAAGTCTCACCAGCACCAGCTCAGTCCACATATGTCATATACATGGGTTAGGAATGACAAGTGCATCCTTTTTACACAATGCAGTGGTGGTCTCATTTCAGTTTGGTATATCTCCTACTGGCAATTAATCGTGGACATATATATACACACACACACAGATAGATTTGAATCGTGATTTTTTTTTTGTGTAATTAACTTCACTCCAGTTCTGCATTTAAGCACCAGTGGAGAAGTGTTTGCTGTGGGAAATGCGTGTATGCTGCGTGTGTGGTGGTTTCTTCCAACCTGTTTGTGCGTTAATGAATGGAATCTATTCTTCTGGCTCAGTATGGCTTATCATCTTGTTGTCTGTAGCCCTGAGCTAAATGAGCAGAGACTGAGACAGCGCACAACTGAATTATATGATAAAAGGCCTGAGCTCCAGACCTGTTGTTGTGTTTCATTTATCTGTCTGGCCCTGGAGAAGAGAAGACGAGAAAAGCGGATTTGTCTTTTTATTGTTTTGGAGGAAGCTGATGTGCATGCAGGGAAGAGAGGAATGGCTCTTACGTACACAAACAGAGCTCAGCACAGCAGTGGGGAAATGGGGCATGAACAGTACATGAACCCTGCTGCAAGAATAGGCCATTCTTAGCATGACCCAAATCTGCAACATTTTCAAAACCACCTGTTTTTTTTTTTTTTTCCTGTTGATGTCCCCCTCTGCTTTACTCATTCCTCCTACTGCTGTCTTTTCTCATTTACAGATCTGGGATAAACAGTCTCTGGAGTGTCTGAAAATACTGACTGGTCACACAGGCTCAGTGTTGTGTCTGCAGTATGATGAGAGGGTCATCGTCACTGGGTCCTCTGACTCAACTGTCAGGTAGGACACGGATATTGTTACAGGATATTGTTACAGAAGGAACATGCTGTAGTTTGGAGTAGGACCCAGAACTGTGTCAGCAAGATTAAATATGATTCAGCTTACTTAATTACTTGAGTTTTTTTTTTTTTTTTGATGACTTAATGGGAAATGTACAACTATGCTTTGATCTGGCATCATTTTTCTGTATTTACTAACCTGTTAAGTCACTTATGGATACTAAATGTGTTATCCTCAGAGATGGACTACTGTGCTAGAAATAATGTAGCAGTTGAGTTATAAGTCAAAACAAATCCAGCTTCTCCATATTTCTTTTAGGATTGATTACTCAGAATGTGTTGGTATAGTCAAGTTAACACCACATCAGTGTTAAAAGAACACAAGATATTTGTTGCACGAGTGTGTGGAAAAAGTAGTGGTAGATGTTTAAAAGCTGGGACTTGGGTATTGCAGAACGAATGGGTATCTGCAGCACTGGTTCTGTAACTCAATAAATGTATAATAAATTCTCTGTCACAATAAAGCATTTTTTGTCATTTTCACACTAAAAGAAGTCATGACTTTGAAATATTGTAAAAAAAACAAAAAACAAAGAAAATCATCATGTCCTCTTATAGCCTCACATCATTGCAGTTAGAGACAAAGGAGGATGATCTGGCTCCACAGCCTGTGACTCTGTAATGTACACGGTTGGTTAATAATGTGAAACCTGAAACAGAGGCGCACAGATGTGTTGTTGACAAGTTCCAAATAGTGTTTTCTGATGGGTTGAGTCTCCCGATGTACAAATCAGTAGTGATTTGGGTGTTAAATTTGTAGGCTGGAGAAAGATTTACTTTATAGAAGCTTTGATCACTTGAAATAAGTCAGTTTTCAGTCAATGACACATTGCTGATTTTAATCTTTTGCCACCTCGTCCAAATGAGTTTGTGCAGTCATTCATAAATGAGTGCATCTGAAAATGTATATGTATACTGAATCCACACAGTAAAGTGCACACAACTACATAACTATCACTTAAATGAAGAGAACAAACAGCAGTTGCATTTTTGACAAAACCTGCCTTTAATGTCATGCAGTTTAAACAATATTAATCTTGATGAACAACATGCAGTAGGTCTTCCTTACCATAATGCATCACGTTTGTTGCAGGTTACAGTGCCAGGAGAAAAGACTGTTGCTTGTAGACATGCCATCTAATATTTTACATAGTGTCTGCTTATACCATTTTGCACACAGTCGTGATTAAAATTCCTTTTGCTCCCTGATGTTTAGACCAAAGTTTTAAGGTTAGTTACATCCAACCAACAGCTGATCCTCACAGACTGGCAGTTGTATAGTGTGTATATATACAGTATGTCTGGAGTGTAAGATATTGGAGTTAATTATTTTATGATGAGTTGGATTTACTATCATTACCAGAGATTGTGTACATATGTTGACACTTACTTCACTTATTACTTCACACTTCTGTCGTACTCTTTGGGCAGTAACCAAGGAAAATGCGACTTCCTTAGCAACGGCTTGACAGGCACTTAGTTTGTAGCTTTTGGTGTCAGTTTTTCCAGTGTTTCACATTTGACTCTGGCCACTGATGGTGTTCAGGAACATGTTCTTCACAGCTGCTCCTGTTTTGTGAGCATGCGCATATGACTGTAGTTGGTCTCTAATATGCAACTAATACACATTCTCTCATGTCTCCTTTGTTTTCCCCTTTCTTTCACTCCCATTACACATTTTTTCCACTATCCATCTTCTTCTTCTCTTTCTTTTCTGCTGAGCCCTTCTTCTTGCTTTAATTTTCCACTGTTCTCACCCCTTTGTTATTTCTTCCCATTAATTTTTCTGCCCTGTTCCACCTGCTCTTTTCCTCCCTGTCACCTTTGCCCTCATCAATCTGCCACCTGTAATCTCCCCCTATTTGGGTTTCTATTTGTCCTGGTTCCCTCCATACCTCTCCTTCTCTGCAGGGTGTGGGAAGTAACAACGGGTGAGGTACTGAACACACTGATTCACCACAATGAGGCAGTCCTTCACCTGCGGTTCGCAAATGGCCTGATGGTCACGTGCTCCAAGGACCGTTCAATCGCAGTCTGGGATATGGCTTCACCAACTGATATAAGCCTACGTCGTGTCCTGGTGGGACACCGTGCAGCCGTCAATGTCGTCGACTTTGATGACAAATATATTGTCTCTGCCTCAGGGGACCGCACCATCAAGGTAACAAGAGCTGAGAATTTGATTTCTAAAGAAACATTTCTCTGACAGTTGGTGTAAATAATTTGGACTAAAACCTGTTATGTAGTTTCAAAAAAAATTTCAACTGGTTTGTGTGGTAAGTAGAGATGTGCTGATCCAGGCATTTTTCACAGGATTAGTATCAGCCAGAAATGAGCTGATCCAATTCGGATCTATATGTAGAACTGCAGTCCTGTATTTGAACGGACTCAGTTGCGTTTTTTGAGATGCGTCACAACCAATAAGCTTCTCAATCAATATATTAATCAGTCCAGCTGTCTCTTTGGAGTGCGTTGGCTGGCATATCACTCCTGCTTTACAGCAGGTAGCTGCAGAACCTGAAGCCTGTTTTTAGCTTCAAGTCTTTTGGAGCTACGTGTATAAAATGGAGAATCTACCAAAACAATGAAGGCTCACTAGTTCCAACCAGAATGCTACCAAAGAGAGAAATGTATCAAGTTAACGGTTAAAACACACCATCTTTTACAATCCTGTGTGTAGGTTTATTTGCCCTGTTTTACCGTGGGTTGAATATACTGTGTGTGTACCATACATGCAATTGTAGCCAGTAATTCCTTCATTTTCTATAATTTGTCAGGGTTTTAGACCATAGTTTTCCCTTTTCCAAAGTGTTTCTGTACGTTCCACATCTGAATAAACCCTGGCTGTTGTTTTATAAAGCTCTGTTGCCTTCCTGCAGGTATGGAGCACAAGCACCTGTGAGTTTGTGCGAACTCTAAATGGTCACAAGCGTGGCATTGCCTGTCTACAGTATAGAGATCGTCTCGTCGTCAGCGGATCATCTGACAACACAATTCGGTATGTGTGTGAGTTCAGCATAAATTGCTGTATTTCAGTCACCAAGTTCTTTTCTGGGTGCTTTCAGTGTTAGCTGTCTATTTAATGTGTATGGTTTGTTTTTAAATATAAAATGTACATTGTTATAAATGCTCAAATCATTTTGTGCAGTGATCAAGTTTTTGTTTTGGACCAATTAAATATCAAAACTGAGTCTCCATCATAAACATGGAGTTGGTAAGCACAGTTCTGCTGTGGATTCAGTTTAGTTTTATTTGTACAGCGCCAAATCACAACAAAAGTCATCTCAGGACACTTTACAAAGTAGGGTCTAGGCATTATTGTTATTATTATTGTCGTTGTAGATAGAAAAACCCAACAAGTGTTTGTGTAGAGTAACACTTGAACAATGATTATTGTGTAAATTTCTTTATTACTGTTTGTATACTAAGGCATCTCTTTCTGCAGGTTATGGGACATAGAGTGTGGGGCATGTTTGCGAGTGCTGGAAGGTCATGAGGAGTTGGTGCGCTGCATTCGCTTTGACAACAAGAGGATTGTCAGTGGTGCCTATGATGGGTGAGTATTTAAACTAGGTTTTGTGCACAGACTCATTTTGTGTCTGATTTTCTGTCATTTCATGATCCTCTCTGCAGTAAGATCAAGGTGTGGGACCTGCAGGCGGCCCTGGATCCTCGAGCCCCAGCCAGCACATTATGTCTGCGCACCTTAGTGGTGAGTAACACTGAGTTGGTGTGTTGCCAGGGTCTTAAATCAGTTTTCTCAAATCTAAATTCAAATCTAAATGTTGATCTCAAAGATTTAAACCATATAGGATTTAAAAAAAAAAAAAAAAAGTCACAAAATACAAAGTGAGTTTCTTTTTCCAAGTAGTTTTAACTATCTGTAAAAGCTAATTTCACATGTACTTGTCTTTAAGATTATAAAGAGATGACAATAGTACAACAGTCCTCTGTTAAACCTAACGTTCTTTACTGTTGCTGAAAGTGAAGAGTAAGAGCAAAGTCCAGTATTTCCCAAACTTTGAGAACACTGAGCTGAGTCAACTGCAAAACAGATTTGAATTCACAAGCAAACGGTCATTTGCACATGCCTGCTTTACCTCAGTCAGTTAACCTGCACTTTGAACTGGGTTTCAGTGGTGACTTTAGAGATTAAAAAAAAAAAAACGTATGCACAATTTATTAACAATTTCCTAACTTTTAAAAACTTTTCTCAGGAGCACTCTGGCCGCGTGTTCCGTCTCCAGTTCGACGAGTTTCAGATCATCAGCAGTTCCCACGATGACACCATTCTTATCTGGGACTTTCTGAATGTGTCAACCAATGGCCAGTCAGAGGGACGGTCTCCCTCCCGCACCTACACTTACATTTCTAGATAGCAGGTACAGACCTTGGCTAGTAAGACCTTTCTGTAAAAATGCATCTTTCTACAACACAGATGAGGTTGTGCAGAGATCAGAGCATGATGTTCAGTGCGTTTATCCTTGCTAAACAGACCAGTATAATGTGACTTATCTCCTCAGGTGGCGCCTTCATCGCACCCTTCCTTGGATGAGCCCAGGGCTGGTTGGCTGATGGGTGCGTCCATCATGAAAAGGAGCCTCTCTCTTCTCCTTCCTCCTCGTCATCTCTGTCCACTTCCCACCTTGCCCTTGCCACCTCCCTGCCCGTTCTGACAGACTCTTACGCTTGTGCCCGTTGCCTGCCGGTACTGCAACATACACACATAGGTCAACACTGATGCGGATGCCCTACTACACAGCCAGTGCAACTCTCCCAAGAAGTTCACCTTCTACTACTAATTTATGTTAATGACAGTATTAACTTAGACTTTATGTAAGTTACAAGCTCCCTTCTCTCCCCTTGATACAAACTTAAAGCAGCTTCTCCTAGGTTTTCAGCCCCTGCCAAAACAGCATTCCACATATATGGAATCATTTATATATTACACACAGACAGCGGCACGGTTGGACAGAGGATGACTGGAGCTGTGATACGGGAGACAGACTCTTTACTCAGCTCTTGGAAAGGAGGGAAGGATGGGAGATGGAGTGAGTGGATGAGGGAGAAGTGTGTTCGGGAGGACTTCCCTGCTCCCCCAACTCCTCCCTGTCCCTCTCTCCACCCCCCCCCCCCCTCGCTCCCTCCCCCAGAGATGCACACTCACTTGGAATATATGGGGGCACACACACTCAAGTTTGAATGAGTGTGTGCTTGTGTATGTGGACTTGTGAAATGGCAGAACACAGCAGAAGCAACAGACAGACATGCATGTGAGGTTGCCTTGGATACAGCATCCAGGTACACCTCTGCTTCCCCCCCCCTTCCCTTTAACTTTGTTTTTTTTATTACTGTTATTTTCTAATTTTGAGTATTTTGGTTCTTAGTACAAAATCATACTAAGCATAGTCCTCTCTCTCTTAGTCTTTTTCCTCATTCTTCTAGCTTTTACCCTCATTCATCTGTCCCTTTCACTCCATCTCCCCCCCCCATCATCTACATGCTTGCTTTGGTTATGAGAGAAGCTGGAACTCAAGCTCAAATTTATCTGTAAACGGAGTTGTCTTGTCAAAAATTGTGTTGTATATTAAAATGATTTTTTAAAGAACCTTATTGACCTTATTGTGAATAAAGTACTTGACAGTGGTGGAGTGCTGAGCAAATTGCAACATGAATGAGTGTCTAATTGTCTGTCTGTTCTTGTCTGTGTATGTGTGGGTGGATTTGTGCTCTGCTGCTTCTCTGTCATGTTGATGCAACACTCGAGCCCTTCAGTTTCCTTTTGTGTTTCAGACAAGCAGCAGGGAACAAAGAATTTTGCTAATTCTGCAATGACAAGAAAATGCTTAAAACGGACTCTTAAAATCAAATACAGTTTTTCTGGAAACCACAGCATTTCATGGTCTCAAGGCAATTGCTTGGAAAGTCTAAACAAAGGCTATGAAACAAGTTGGTATCAACATGGAGAGCAGCACAGGTAAATTTGTTTTATCAAATTCTCTAAGAAGCAGCTCACACCTGTGATGATTTTAATAGTCTTGACTTTTTTTTTTATTGGACCATGTGTTCAAAAAGTAAAGAATCAGTTCAGTTACTTTATCTTTAATTTGGTACATCTAAAAGATATACAAATGATTTTGGACAAATCACAAATTAAAATTTGCCTAGTCAAAATTCCACTGGAGATATCTAAAGCTGGAGGCGAAACTAGTCAAAATGTTATAGTATAGATATCTTAAATCTGATTTGTGACTAGTTAATTGCTTTTAAGATACCTACAAAGATATGGATATTTTCTAAAGGTATTCATGAATGCTGTTTTAACAAAAAAGGTAGTGTTGCTATCCATAATTGCAATTCAGATATTACATTTGCATTTTGACTGGTGAAACTTGCAATGTGTGTAGTCAAATCTATCATTTTAGATGTCTAAAATTGCATTCTGGCTAGTAAGTGACAATTCAGTATATCTACATTTACATTTTGACCAGTCGTAGTTCCTTTTTGGCTATCTGAAATTATATCGGTCACGTGATTTTTGGATATCCAAAACGACGTCGGACAACATCCCTTGCCCCTTCCATGTTATCCTCACTGCCGCTGGTCAGCACAAATCATGGAGCTCAAAGTGTAGAACAGCTGCATTAGATATGAAAAGGACGATGTTAAACATTATGATTTAACTGGCATTTTGGTCCAAACTTGACAGACTGTACTTTTGTTATGTTACCTATTTGATTCTAAAGACAGTTAAATAATTTCCATAACTTTCTAATTTATGATAATGCAACCGCTAGCTTTGCTGCATAGGGATACACTATGTAACAAAGATGAGCTCCATTCACCAATAACCTGAAGCAGTAATAAAAACAGTAAAACTAGATAGTATTACAGTGAACAAATGAGATTTGAAATATAAATGTGTAAATATTCAGGTGAGTGCTGACGTTGCCCTTTTAACTTGACAGAGATGCTGGCCAGAGGCTTCACCTTTAAGTCCCTGCATCCCAAACATACAGTATTGTTCAAAATAATAGCAGTACAATGTGACTAACCAGAATAATCCAGGTTTTTAGTATATTTTTTATTGCTACATGGCAAACAAGTTACCAGTAGGTGCAGTAGATTCTCAGAAAGCAAACAAGACCCAGCATTCATGATATGCACGCTCTTAAGGCTGTGAAATTGGGCAATTAGTTGAAAGGGGTGTGTTCAAAAAAATAGCAGTGTCTGCCGTTGACTGTACAAACACAAAACTATGTTGTACAAACGTTTTTGTTTCTAGGATTTAGCAATCCTGTGAATCACTAAACTAATATTTAGTTGTATGACCACAGTTTGTTATAACTGCTTCACATCTGTGTGGCATGGAGTCAACCAACTTGTGGCACCTTTCAGCTGTTATTACACTCCATGATTCTTTAACAACATTCCACAATTCATTTACATTTCTTGGTTTTGCTTCAGAAACAGCATTTTTGATATCACCCCACAAGTTCTCGATTGGATTAAGGTCCGGGGATTGGGCTGGCCACTCCATAACATTAATTTTGTTGGTTTGGAACCAAGACTTTGCTCGTTTACTAGTGTGTTTGGGGTCATTGTCTTGTTGAAACAACCATTTCAAGGGCATGTCCTCTTCAGCATAAGGCAACATGACCTCTTCAAGTATTTTGACATATGCAAACTGATCCATGATCCCTGGTATGCGATAAATAGGCCCAACACCATAGTAGGAGAAACATGCCCATATCATGATGCTTGCACCACCATGCTTCACTGTCTTCACTGTGTACTGTGGCTTGAATTCAGAGTTTGGGGGTCGTCTCACAAACTGTCTGTGGCCCTTGGACCCAAAAAGAACAATTTTACTCTCATCAGTCCACAAAATGTTCCTCCATTTCTCTTTAGGCCAGTTGATGTGTTCTTTGGCAAATTGTAACCTCTTCTGCACGTGCCTTTTTTTTAACAGAGGGACTTTGCGGGGGATTCTTGAAAATAGATTAGCTTCACACAGACGTCTTCTAACTGTCACAGTACTTACAGGTAACTCCAGACTGTCTTTGATCATCCTGGAGCTGATCATTGGCTGGGCCTTTGCCATTCTGGTTATTCTTCGATCCATTTTGATGGTTGTCTTCCGTTTTCTTCCACGTCTCTCTGGTTTTGCTCTCCATTTTAAGGCATTGGAGATCATTTTAGCTGAACAGCCTATAATTTTTTGCACCTCTTTATAGGTTTTCCCCTCTCCAATCAACTTTTTAATCAAAGTACGCTGTTCTTCTGAACAATGTCTTGAACGACCCATTTTCCTCAGGCTTTCAAATGCATGTTCAACAAGTGCTGGCTTCATCCTTAAATAGGGGCCACCTGATTCACACCTGTTATTTCACAAAATTGATGACCTCACTGATTGAATGCCACACTGCTATTTTTTTAACACACCCCTTTCCCTAGCCCCAGAAGCTAAATGATGGTGAACATCCAAAGTGACATCACAGACACCAATGCTCCATTAAAGATATCTTTAATTTGAATGTCAATGTAATTGCAGCTATCTGGAATTTACATTTCAGATGGGCATTCAAGTCAATGAGGAATTACTAGTCAAAGTGTAATTGCAGATCTCTTTAAAACTGTCTAGTCAAAACTGAGTTGCATTTACCTTAAATTATAGCTTTTGCTAATTGCAAATACATTGTAGATACAGTATCTGTAATATGAATTCCACCAATAAATGCTAAAATGGCACAGTGATGTCATTTAGGATATCCAAAAAGAAAGTGTGACTAGTCGAAACATAATTGTAGATATTTAAAACTGACATTCCTACTGATGATACAACTGTAGAGATCTTGAATGATCATTTTTGTTAGTTGCGCTATAATTTCATCTAGTCAAAATGCCATTTTAATTATCCGAAATGCAATTATGTATATTCAAGTGAAACCATAACATGACAAATTACACCGATCAGCCATAACATTATGACCACTGGCAGGTGAAGTGAATAATACTATCTGTTACAGTGGCACCTGTCAGTGTGTAGGGTATATTAGGCAGCAAGTGAACATTTAGTCCTCAAAGTTGATGTGTTGGAAGCAGGAAAAATGGGTAAGTGAAAGGATCTGAGTGACTTTTGACAAGGGCCAAACTCTGATGGTAAGATCACTGGGTCAGAGCATCTCCCACACTACAGTTCTTGGTGGGTGTTCCCAGTCTGCGGTGGTTAGTACCTACCAACAGTGGCCTAAGAAAAGACAAAGGGTGAACTGGCGACGGGGTCATGAACGCCCATGGCTCACTGATGATGAGCTTGCCCGACTATAGATTAAACTCTTAACTTCCATTTGTACTTTTCAAAAGATTAAAATTTATTTGAATCTTTGTTAAAATGGTTGAAAACGAGAAATACTGTACAATGGTCTCTATGAAGAGAAAGAGCTAGGGGCTGCAGTGGTGATATCACACCTAGAGTGGTGAGGCTGAATTTGTCTAAAACAAAATCTAACTTGTCCTCACGACCACAGTTTTCACTCCTTTTACGCAAGTTTTTCACTGAATTGTAGACACATCTGTGCTCTTCCTGACAGTATAACTGTGGAAACAAATGGATTCATAGAAGATGTAGAGCGAGCTGCAGAGTGACACGAGTGCCAACCAACTGCTACGTTGACTCCTATGTAAACAGTATTAGGCAGGTGGTCATAATGTTTTGGCTGATCGGTGTATATGGTATCACGTACAACCAGGGCTTACACCGAAGCTAGCTAGGAACTGACGTTAGCTTAATCATCTCTTGTGCTTCCATTCAAAATTACATTTTTAAATACCCCGGTAAAAGTTTGACACCAAAGTGCTGGTTCAGTGTAATATGACCAACAAAAACACAAAACGCTAACGTTAACGGTCGATGTCACCAACGGCTAACTCGTGACTGCTAGCTAACGTTAGCTAAAATCAGTGACGTTAGATTTAAAAACTGTTACAGTGGCACAGACTGTGCTTTAGTACTTCACAACAATAAACTACAAGTAAATTCAACAGTGTTTGTAAAGAAAAAAAAGTACAGTAAATAAAGCTGAAAACAGGTAACTAATATCATGACACACCATACAGGATCAGAACCCTTGATCTGGATGACGTCATCGCGGCCGTTAATTGACGTTAGCGTGACAGACTGGCATGAGAAGTCTACACATGTAAATTAATGGTCTAACACAGAATGCAGAGTATAAATATTGTGGTAGACCTTACTCTTACATATGTTAATATCTGCTTTCATGATATAACTCACAACAACCTTTTAAACAGGAATCTTACCTTCAACCCCACAGCTCTTCAGGAGAGTTGAAGCAGCAGCCGGACCATGGATGTAGTATAGACAACCAGCTTGACTGCTACCCAGATCCAACACACACTTGGCGGTGTAGGGCCAATAGTTTTTGAGAAACCTGTGTTTTATGTTTTTGTTTATTCAGTTTACTTTCTCATTATATAATTAAGTAAGGTGCTGCAAACTGGCCTTTAGTTGGGCTATTTCTGTTTCACTCTCTTGTTAACACACTTAAAATCCAAAACAACCCAACCACTTGTACTCATGTTTCAACACCTTCAACCTTCATCATGTGAACATGTATTGAAACTGTTTAAATTGGGTACATGTGTTTGAACATTTGCAGAACTCGCAGAGATTAGCATTTGCTTGTTCTTGGGCAGTTAACAGGAAGTACAACAATTAAAAGCCAATTTGCATTTAAATCTCAATATTAAAGCCAGCTTCATCTATAACCACAAATGATAGTGTTACAGATTCACTGTCAAAAGTTTTGATTATGATCAAAACTTATTTTCATGTTATTTTTCTGTTAAAATTTTAATTAAAATGAATGATGAAGATCCTTAATGTTAAACTGTATTATGAGGTGATGTTGTCAGAGGGTGGCCACCAGGTGGGAGTATAAACTCAGCTACCTCATACAGTGTAATCATTTTATGAGACCTGGGCCCTGACAGTTTGTTAGCTAAACTAAACAACCTGCTACAGTAGATCGCATACTCAGCCATAACACCAGAACAGCAAAGTAATGTAGGTTAAATGTTTCAAGTGGTGCGTGTATAGCAAAGCTCTGGCAAGTGTTCTTGAACTCTACATTATTATAGGCCTGTACCTGTCTGGTTATTGTACAGTGTGTATCCTCCCAGCTATGAGAAGGAGAGTGGTTGTTTTCTAAACTTCTGGGTTTAGTTCAGTATAGTAGAATGTTTTAAATTCTGGGAATACGTTATGTGAGATGGATCTGTGCTTGGTGGAGTACCATTAGTATATGATGTGTGTGTGTTGGATATGGGTGTGTGTGCTTCCTCTGGGTCTGTGGGATTCTGGCCCATAATTCCTGCAGCTCTCAGGTCACAGCTTCGTTCTCACGCACATATTTGGCATTCCTTCCCCGACATGATTACCATACACCTTCCACTCTGGGTTTGGCTACGTAAAATATTTCCATCATTCCCGAGTGGAACTGGAGCGACGTTCCAGAAATGAACAACTCACCCCACCAGCACCATCACCACCCCCTACTTACTCTTCTTTATCCCACCCCCACACCCTGTCTCCCTCCCACCCATGGTCTCCTCCTT